TTTAGCAGCCGCGCAAAGAGGATCAAAGAGAGGTCGAAGAAACCTAAGGCTCTGATACCATGTCAAAGTTTTAGCGGAAGTTGTTTATTTCACAAGCCAAAGCGGCATATTTATAAGAGTACATAGGTTTAACCTAACTAGGAAAAGATATTTACACAAAAGGACTTGATACAAATATGTAAATTTGTTAATATCGAAGATATTCTCCAATACAAAGCATATGTGATATTCGAGGAGTTCTTGACTTCGTCACCCGCGTTCTCAGTCACCATGTAGCTTGAATCCGTTTCCCACGTTCTATACAACGCAAGATCTCGGCTTGGACCAAGCTTAGGACCACCAACTTTTAGCCTATGCATAGTTTCGATCCCGCGTCCACTTAAACCGAGCTCCAATTCATTTCCACCCACTCTAGTAACTGATTCCTTGAAAAGCTTATCAACACCAGAAACAATCTCAATAGCATTGACAAACCCGAAAGATCCTTTCTCCGGTATGTAGCTCAAAATCAGTTTTCCCGGTCCTATAGGTAACATAAACTCTTTAACCAATGAAGAGGCAGTAGCATTGTGGCCAGAGCCTAGCAAGACGAGATTTTTATGCACGATTTCTCCCGGGATGTTGATGTCAAGAATCAGTCTAAGATCATCCGCATACATATAAACCACTGTGAAGAGTATTCTCAAACCCTGGAACTTTTACGAAAGCTCTGAGAGGAGGACTCTCAAACTCTATCCCTCGAAGCTTACGTCAGTTGGTATCGGAGACAAAGGTTCCTACAAGGTGTTATGGCGGCAGATCGGTGTGAGTTTCGGAATGCTCTCACGATGCAAGAGAGTGCAGAATTCGATTCAAGCGTTGGGTGATAGATTGGTCACTACGCTAGAAAATCAACTTCCAAATCTGATTCGTGCTGACAACAATCCGCCTGCCCCTAATGATCATGAATCTGACGTTGAAGTAGATGAATATTATTGTCGTGTTTGTCGAGAAGAAAAGTCCGAAGACTTCAACGGTGAACCCATCTACGATGGCGATGATTTTGTTTCTTGTACTGATTTAGAACATGAGTTTCGACAAGAAGGATGTTTGTTGGTAATCTGAACAATATCAGGTTCGGTGTCACACACATTGATTAGTTGTGTCACACACCATGCGACTACATATGTGTCAGACACTTTGTTTGGTTGTGTAACAACACACTCTGAGCCTCTATCTAGCTATCTGCAAAAGCAACGCTAGATTCCGTGATTAGTGAGCTTCTTCTTGTGTATGAATTTGAGGATGGATTTAAGAAGATTTCTCTCGTTCCAAGGAGACGATTGAAGATTCGAAGATGGATTTTTTTTGCCGGCAAGACCTGGTGCAATATGTACTAGATTTTTGACCTGCGTCCTACATTAAAATATTTTAAAATAAAAAATCACAGTTTTTATTTTGCAAAGGAGAAATTAAAAACAACAAAGATCAAATGATATATCTCTCATATAGATAAATATATTTTATCTTACAAAAATTAATCTCCATAACATTTAGCTTGACGAATATAAGCGCTTTATAATCGGATACGTTTGAGATTATGAATTCTCTCAAACGTATTTGAATTCACCAAACTMAAAAAAATATCGCGTTAGTATGTAAATCTTCTT